TCCTTAAAGACCCCTATCTCCAAATACAGTCACATTGAGGATTAGGGCTCAACATATGAATGAGGGGTGGGGCAAAATTCCATCTAGAGCAGGTAATGAATCTATAAATAAGGAGAACTGACATCTTGAAAATATTATTTTCCTCATGAATAAAAATAGTGCACTCCTGTATGTACTTGGGACTTCTTTCCCTAGGTGTATCAATACATTTTTATAGCTACCTCCAAAAAGACAGTGTACATTTTTGTTAGGTTTCTTTTTGTTCTTGGGATATTTTCTATTAATTATCTTAATTAGCTACTGCTTTTGTATGTCTAGGTTCCTGATTTTGGCACAGTCGTCTTCTCTTCAGTAGCTTTTGGGGTCTCTTATTCATTTGAATAGTTTGTGCAATGGTTCCTTTGGAATTCTAATTAGAGGATCATATTGTCACCACTTACTATCTGTCCTTTTAATATTCCTTGCTCTTATTTATTTCGATACTTTTATTCCTCTTTTAATGTATTACAGTCTGCTTTTAAACAGTAGATATTGTACCATAACATCTGTGTCTTTATCTTGACTTTAGTGGGAATGTTGGTAACATTTCACATTTATGTGAGTTTGCTGGAGGTTTTAAGAAATGGAAATCTCTGATAGAGTGACAGACTTAGGGAAAGAAGTCCCAAATAAATACAGGAATACACTATTTTTATTCATGAGGAAAATAATATTTTCAAGACATCACTTCTTATTTTGCTAAAAAAATTTTTACCATGAATTGCTGCACCCCTGGACATGATCAAATGCATTTTATCTTGTAATCTATTACTATAGAGACATACCAATTGACAGTTATTTTACTGATGTTGTGATATATTTGGATTTCTTTAACTTAACCTATTTGTTCACTGGTATACTTGAGATGCTATGAATTTATTTAGGGTAGATGCTTCTAAGTGACTGTGTTTGGCTAGAGCAATTTGGGGAGGGGGAGTCAGTAAGTTTATCTGGTCTTTGTCTCAAGGTGAGCACACCTGCCTTTAAACTCAACAGTAAGGAAACATTTGAGGATGAAATAATATACATAGTCTGCAATCTTTTTCAGAAGATCAAAGAGGGAAGCATTCTTAATTCTTTGAATGAGGCCAGGATCACCCTAAGCCCAAAGCCAAATAAATACATTACTGGAAAAGAAAATTATAAACAGATATGCCTCATGCATATAGATTTAAAATATCTTTAACAAAACAATAGCAAGCAAAATTTAGCAATATGCAAAAAGAATAATACTTCATTATGTGGTGGTGCTAATTTCCTGAATTCAGGCCTAATTCAACATTTATAAATTAATTCGTGTACTTCATCATATAACAGACTGAATTTTAAAATAATCACATCAACTAATGTAGAAAAATAATTTTGAAATTGTATTACCTATTCATATCAAAAATTTTTTAAATTAGCATTAGAAGGGAACTTTCTTAATCTGGTTAATGGTATGTAAGAAAACCCATAGCTAACATTATACCTCATAATGAGAGAGTGAATACTTTCCTCCTAAGATTGAAAACATAACAAGGATGTCCTCTCATTACTCCTATTCAGTGTCATATGGAAGTCCTATCTTGTGCAAGACAAGCCGTAACAAATAAATACAAGGTATACAAATACTGAAGGGATAAAAAAAAATATATGCTTTGTAGAGGAAATGATTGTCTATGTGGAAATCTCTAAGACTCTATGAAGGAAACCTCTCGGAAATAATAACTGAGTATAGTTGCTTTACTATATACTTTCAGTATAAAAATAAGAGTTAGACATTTTAAAAAGCAAAAATACTTACAAACGCACAATAATTGTTAGATATAAACCTAAGAAAATATATACCAGATTCATTTGTGGAAAACTCCAAAATACTTGCCTAAGAGGACCGAACTAAATGGAAAAATATTCTGTTTATAATTAGTAAAGACACTATTATTAAGATGTCATTTATTTCTAACTTGGTTTATAGATTTCATGCAATCCCAATCAAAACTCTCTATAGTGGGTAATGGAAATATCAGGGAAATGCTGTGAAGTATATAATTGTCTAACCACTATGCTGTACACCTGAAACTAGTACCAAGTAATACTGAATATAAACTGTGATTGAAAAAAGTAGAAAACAATTTTAAAAATTCTGTAGCAATTATCACTGTTGTTTTTAAAAGTCCTCTCTAGCCTCAAGGTTATAAACTAAGGCACTACAGATTTCATGCCAAACCAGTGTCTACCTACCAACTGATTTGGGAAAAAACTCTGAGTTTGGTGGAGGTACCCAGAGGGGATGAAGTGGTGTCTAAACTTCACTGTCTGAATGAGTGACTGCATGGAAGGGGCTGCTGCTATCAGAGGGTCCACAGTGAAGGATGGGATCTGCAGGAGTTGGATGCTCTACTTTGGGGATGGCAGGGGGTATGGGTTGTGTGTTCCACGGGGAACAGGGGTGCAGCCTGCAGAGGAGGATGCAAAGAAGAGCTGGCTGGCAGGACAGGTTCCACTCTGGACAGGAGACACACTGGGAAAGACGCAGGGGACGGGCGCTGTAATGCAGCAAAGGGCCCTGGGAATGGGCACCTGTGCTGAGACCAGGGCAGAGTCAGCTTTCAAGGAACCCTGGGGTGGGGCTGAGGCAGGAGGACCCTGGGTAAATGAAGCTCTCAGACAATTCCCAAATCATGTTTGATTCCCATTTTCCCCTTCCTTCTTTAGGCCTGTTCTCAGTACTTTAGCCACAGGCTTTTGCTTCTCACTGCCTGAAAAACATCATGGAATAGTGAGAAGAGGAATGAATTAATAGAGACAAGGTCTGCCTTAGGCTGGGAGGAGTGGAACCAAGTGGGCTCTAGAAGTATCAGACCAGGGTTTCATTCTGAGGCTCGTCTCTTAGGAGCAATGTGAACTCATGAAAATTGCAAAGCTACATGTGCCTCAGGTTCCTCATCTGAAATGGGCTTGATGCAGTCATCTTGCTCCTTGGCTCATGTATACCTTGTGAAGTTGGATGCTGGAATGTAATTAATTTATGTAAGGCACCTGGTCCAGGTATGTATTGGGTCTTTGATAATTGCAATTACTAGTATTACATTTCTGACCTCAAACACCACCAATCTCGAATCTTGAAATTTTTTAAGTTATTTTTATCCTGAAGATATCACAATGTACATCCCTGTAGGACATACTACATCAACGCAGCCAAAATGCTTCTTGCCAAGAAAATTAAATAACTTGCTAAGGAACATTTTAGAATAGTTTATAAGCAATTAAGAAAAACGTCCCAATGGATACATACAAGGCTCCTGTAAAATGAGTCAAGGGCTAACTGGTTTACTCTCATCAAAACATCCATCCCTCATTTAGTTTGGCAATTTATACTCAAGATAATCTAATTTAAACACCCTATAAACAGTGAGCTGTCTTTTCCAGCCTGAGGCCAAAAGTGCCAGCAGGGTGGCCTTTGACCACCACATGTTAAGGCAGTATCACCATTATTTCTCAGAGGCTCTGTATAGAAAATGTATCTAAAATAGGTAATTTATGTACTTTCACCTGCACTGGGACAAAAGAACAAGACAAATCCCATTCCCACCTCAGGTGGAAATATCTCGCTGGTTAATTTTAGATCTTGAAGTGACTGCTATAAGCAGGGTTTAGTCTCTCAACTCTGGACACGCCTTCAGAGGGACTGGCCACTGCCTGCCACTTCCACAGCCTCCTCATCTGAACCACCACCCAGCTTAACATAAAATTGACTCATACCAAAAGATTTAGTTTCCCAAGGCCCCAAACCTGCTTGCTTCAGGACATTTACACTTGATTGCTCACATCTAGATCCTCCCATATCTTCGCTCCTTCTCTGGACTTGTCCTTAGTTCTTATGGTGTATATCACCATCTTCCCGACTTGAAAGCTACTCCTAGACTCAAATATTGTCTGGCCATGGTGGACTTCGTTGATTTTGACATCCCCAGAAGTAGCATGGGGCTTCCCAAAGAGCAGATGCTCAAGAAATGTTTGAGAAATAAATGAAAAAGTGTGCAAAAGATCTAATTTATTATGATAAAATTCAGTCCTCATTCTTAAATAATCTAAGCACAACCAAGAACATATCTCTTAATGTTACAGAACAGATTAAAATTGGTAAGTGAATGCAAAACTTTATCATCTTTTTCTTTATTTCTGTTCTTCTTCATCCCAACTATTATACTGCTGAGCTCTTTAACATCTCCAAGGACATGCCCAATCAATACACCACTGTTATCTTGTCCCAAATAACTAAACAAAGAAAATTTTCCCATTTCTTCATAAAATAACAAAACTTAAAAAAAATTCAACAGCCCTGGCTGGTTTGGCTCAGCGGTTGGAGCACTGGCCTGTGGTCCAGAGAGACCCGGGTTCGGTTCCCGCTAAGGGCACGTACCTCGGTTGCAGTTTGTCCCCAGCCCTGGTTGGGGTCGTGTGGGTGGCAACTACTTGATGTGTCCCTTTCACGTCGATGTTTGTCTCTCTCTCTCTCTCTCCTTCCCATTCTATCTGAACAAAAAATGGGAAAATGTCATCGGGTGAGGATTAAAAAAAAATTTCAACATATAATTTTATTAAGCTAATTATTAGATGCATGAGCTACTGAAAAAAATTCTAAATTGTAATATCCTTTCCCAAATGAAAAATAGGTTTAACTTTTTTCATTTTGTTAAAATTTAAAATTATACTTGACATACTAAAATAGTAAAACTCACAGTCTTAAAGCTCATAAACATAAATAAATGTGTGACATATCAGAAGTTAATTCAGATTCTGAAGTTAGTTAAACCTTCTATTAAAAGAAAAAAACATTTAGACAAACATACGTTATTACACAGAAAAAGAAACACGAACATGTTAAACTATCTTGTCTCTAGACCTACCCCAACCTTCTACTAATGAAAACCTTAGCTGTTCTCCTCAAACACATGGTATAGAACCTTCCTCAGCATTCACTTGGGGCAGAAAAAGCTTCTGGGTACGGCCTTGGTGCGTGCACTGGCCACGGCAGCAATACGAGCCTTGGCTGTAGATCTGGCTTGGGCTCTCTCTTCCTCATCTCTCAAAGCCTCTTCATAATGGCATGGGAAGGCACTGGGGATGGTATGATTAATCTTGGCCACAAACTCCAGGACTTTCATCTTGCTGGTTTCAGCATGGGCTCTTGGGCCCCACAGGAATTCGTGGCATGGAGGATCACTGTCGGGCACCTGGCGGTACACCAGGTATTTTTTTTTCACCAACTCTTCTGTGATGAGCTTCTTGGGATCCCCAAAGATGAAGTGCTTCCTCCCAGCATGTAACCCCATCATATTCAGCACTTTCCAGACTTCCTCTTCAGTGGCGCAGTTGCCCTCCATGAAAATCACGCCCAGGACAGTCATCAGCACACCAGTCCTGGGCACACCTCTGTGTTCTCCCGTATCACAGCTTAGTTCTAGTTTGTTGATGAGAACATAAGTATTCCTGTTGGGATCCATTTCCTTAATATCAAGGCCAAAGACCAGCTCCAAATGCTCAGAAGCTCTCCTGAGGATCTCATGGAAATGATGCTTGTACACCTGGATTACATTTCTCAGCATATCTACCTTGGTAATAGGCTCTTTCCTTTGATATTTGTCCAGCAGGTAGTGCACCAACACAACCACCTTTTCATCCAGAGGGCCTCTACACCAGGGCTCAGTGATATCACTGACATGTAAGGCAATTAGCATTTCCTGCATTTGATTATTAGCATCTTCGTCATATCTTGTGCTTGAAACAGCCGCAGCACTAGCGGTGGTGGAGCAGGCTGCCCCAGGCACTTGAGGATTGCTGGGTGTTCCAGTGACAGGTGAATTCTGAGGATCTTTGAAACCAGGAGATGGGGGAGAAGGGGACTCTTCATCTGGTATAGTGGCCTGAGCACCCACTGGATCCCTGATCTCGTCTCGGGCCTGGCGACGTTTCTCACGGGCACGAACTTTACTCTTCTGTCCCCGAGGCATGATGACTCTGGTCAGGGACAGCAAGCAGGAGTGTGGAAAAGGTGACCTGAAGGAAAGAGGATGAAATGGTGTGATAACCTTAGCAGGGAGATATCACCTGGGGCTTTATCGACAGCTAGCTATCTCTGCAGGTTCACTTGAGGGCACTGTTCTAGAAACCCTTGAGGCTGCTCTTCTCTGAGCAGCCTTTCTTTTGAGGACCCTGAGGGTAACTAGAGTTTGTCTTAGGGTTCAGCCTTCTATCCCTACCTAGGTCTTACTGGAGCCAACACAGGGTCTGACAAGTTCAGGCCTTGTGGAGCTTCCCAAGTTCTAGAGCACTAGGTGTTTCTCTCATTCACATTCAGGGCCATTGCCTCCACTTATGGCAGGATCTGTGGTGCTCTCTCAACTGAAGTGCCTGACCCCTCATTCCAAAGCCCTTACCTCCCTGACACCCTTTTTAAAGCCCTTACCTCCCTGACACCCTTTTTAAAGCCCTTACCTCCCTGACACCCTTTTTAAAGCCCTTACCTCCCTGACACCCTTTTTTAAAGCCCTTACCTCCCTGACACGCTTTTTAAAGCCCTTACCTCCCTGACACCCTTGGGTGAGGAACTGAGGAGGAACCTCATCTGAGCACACCTGCCTGAGGATACCCTGGGATGATAGCAATGGTAGAGCTCTGTGGGACCCTCTCCGTCCTGGGATAAATAGGGCTCTCATTTCTCATTCAGAGTTCTCACCTTGTTTTCTTGCAGGACCTTGAACTGTTCCCTAAGCTGATCTTAGACTTATCCCCTTGTAGTTAGGCCTTCATATTCCTCAAAGTCCAGAAAAGGAGTTTAAGAAGGCCTCAGTTTTACATATCTTCCCCAGGGATCCTGGCAGGGATGATATCACATATAGGGCTCTGAAATAGATTGCTTATGTGGCTCCTTCCCTTGACTGCCTGGTATCTTCCCTTCTACAGACTAGAGGCGTAGAGCACTCAAATCAAGGTGGTCATCTACCTGATATTCTGGAATATGCATGTGGGGGTGGGGGTCAGAATAGCACATCTCCCCAAGGCTTCCCAGGGCTTACCACAGAGAAAGGGCCTGACACTATGTGCACCCATCCTCGCTTCAATATCTAGAAGGGCCTGAGTAACCTCCTTTTAATTGAATCCTCATCTCCCTGTGACTACTGAGGATAAAGTTAGGGGCATCTTACCCTGGCAACCCTGCTGAGGAGATACCAGGGCATATAGTAGGGGTCCTGCTTTATGGGGCTCCCTGGTCCTGAAGGTGGAATTCACCTCGGTCCTAGCTCAAGGTTCTGAACTAAACTCAAAGCCACCCACAGGACTCCTCCCTCTGCTAACCTGAATTGTCTAGCCTTAGACCAAGGTTTTTATGCACTCATCTTCCCCAAACACATTCGCCCAGACCAATAGATGAAGTGAGTCTGTAGGGCCTTCACTGTGTTGGGGAGAGGTATTTCCCTCAGAATGCAAATAGGAGCATTCACTGATTCCTGGCAGAGCCTGGCCCAAGGCAGATACCCTGGGGAAAATCTTTCTCAGGCCCTGGAGCAGCCAGTGGGTAAGTCAGGTGTGCTACTTCCAATCACCCCTGCCTGGGGTCCCCTAGAACTGAAATCAGAGGCTGAGCTTTTTGGCACATCCTCCGTTATGTGGGAGGGGAATTCTGCCCAGCAAATTTCCATAAGATCCTTCATGGACTCCCAAAAGGAGCTGGACTCCTGCCTGCTGATCCAATGTTATTCATTCTTGGAGTTCCCAGAAGGATAATTCTGAGGGTAATGGATTGGACCATCCCTGCCTGGAACCTTCTAAAGCTGACTTTGGGGTGAGGTTGTGGGGCATTTTGTCTCTTTTTATATGGGGTTCCTTTAAAGTTTAATCAGCATCCTTACCTTACCCATGACAAATACTGGACACGTTCTTTCTCACAGTACACTCACCTACTACACACAATAAAGACACAAAAAAATGTGCCACACACCGGCTCCTCCTGCCCCAGCCACCCTGGGAGCATAAGGCTCTGGTGGCCTCTGTCGGATGGTGTGGGTGGTTACACCTGCGTGGGGTACCATATTGCCTTATGCCGCCATATTGCCTCCATGGACTGCCAAAGGAAGCCAGAATCTTCGCTGCTGACTGCCGACTCCCCAATTCTCTGAGATCCCAGAAGTCTGAGGGCCATGGCTCGGGCCTTCTGTGCCTATAACTTTCTAGGGCTGATGGCGGGGCAGGAGAGTGGGGCCTTCTGTCTCAGGGTAGGGGATTCCCTCAACCCTTAGTATCCTTACCTTACCCTTGGCAGAGACGGATTCCTCTCTCTGGTGACCAGACACTCGCCTTCTCACAGTGCTCTCACCTACAACAGATTCCAGAGATGGAAGTAGATGCACCACACATCCGACTCCTACGCCTACGCCCCCCCCTCCCCCATGGCCATCCTGGGAGCATAATGCTCTGGTGCCCCCTGTCTGGCGGTGTGGGTTGTATCCCTGCATGGGGTCTTCCAGGGCTGACGGCAGGGGCCCGGCTCTAAGGCCCTTATTCTACTATGGGGGAGGGGCAGAGCCTGGCCCGAGGCAGACACCTTGGTCAATACTCTCCACACCTTCTGGAGTCACCAGCCAGTGAAGTCAGGTGTGCCACTTTCAGCCCCCACCCCCCAGAGTATTCCAGAGCTAAAGGCAGAGGCCAGGCTCCCCAGGCGATGACTCTGCTGTGGGGGAGGGGAGCTCTGCCGCCATATTGCTTAGGGTCCTCATGGACTGCCCAAGGGAGCCGGAGTCTTCGCTGCTGTCGGCTGACCCCCTAATTCTCTGAGATCCCAGAATTCTGAGGGCAATGGTTTGGGCCTTCCGTGCCTATAACTTTCTAGGGCTGATGGCGGGGGCAGGGCAGTGGGGCCTTCTGTCTCGGGGTAGGGGATTCCCTCAACCCTTACTCAGTAGGCGCAGACGGATTCCTCTCTCCGGTTACCAGATGCTCCCCTTCTCACAGTGCTCTCACCTACCACAGATTCCAGAGATGGAAGTAGATTCACCACACATCCGACTCTTCCTGCTCCGGCCACCCTGGGAGCGTAATGCTCTGGTGCCCCCTGTCTGGCGGTGTGGGTTGTATCCCTGCGTGGGGTCTTCCAGGGCTGACGGCAGGGGCCCGGCTCTAAGGCCCTTATTCTACTATGGGGGAGGGGCAGAGCATGGGCAGAGCCTGGCCCAAGGCAGACACCTTGGTCAATATTCTCCTCACCTTCTGGAGTCACCAGCCAGGGAAGTCAGGTGTGCCACTTTCAGCCCCCACCCCCCAGAGTATCCCAGAGCTAAAGGCAGAGGCCAGGCTCCCCCGGCGATGACTCTGCTGTGGGGGAGGGGAGCTCTGCCGCCATATTGCCTTAGGGTCCTCATGGACTGCCCAAGGGAGCCGGAATCTTCGCTGCTGACTTGATGCTGACCCAATGGTCCAATGCTATCACTTTTCAGAGTTTCCAGAAAGAGAATTCTGAAGGCAATGGATCAGGCCATACCTTTCTGGAACCTTATAGGACTGAGGGGCGGTGGGGCAGAGCAGTGGGGCTTTCTGTCTCTTGGGATAGGGGATTCCTTCACACCTTACTCTGTATCCCCGCCTTACCTGTGGCAGAGAATGAACGTGTTCCTTCTCACATGTGGTCTCACCTACTATAAACGCCAGAGATGGAAGTAAATGCACCATGAGTTGGCTTCTCCTGGCCCCGGGAGCTTAATGCCGTGATATACCCTGTCTTATGGTGTGGGTGGTACCCAAATTTCTCCCTTCAGAGCCAGGTTGTCATGTGTCTCTTGGTTCTTAAACTAAAGGCTGCTTGGGAAATATCATCTCCCTGTAAGCTCTGGACAGTTTCTCAACTAAACCCCTGCAGACAATGCGTCCGCATCCCAGGCATGATGTGAGATCGAGGAGCTGCAGCGTAAGCTAAGCAGGCCAGGAAAGGTTCCGAGCTGTTAGAGAAAATGAACAGTGATGATGGGATCTCGTCACTATTCAGATGGAGACTTTGGCAACTTTCTATTCAAAAAGATCTGCTTTGTACAGGGAAGAAACCGTTTGGCACAATTGTGAGACTCACATCATTTGATCTTAAATAACATTGCAGAGTGTAGTGGTGAAATTCATTTTGACTCTCATTCATAACAAATATATACATTTGCTAAATAATTAGTACATTGTAAGGCAAGGCTCTTGATTTTATTATCATTGTCTGTAAGTGTTTAGTTACATATCCATTTGCATAATCCGTGGTGTTTTTCTTAAATGATGATCGTGTTTATGACAAATATTTTCAATCTTTTAAAAATATTCCTAGCTTTTATTTATTTTTGTATTTTTATCCACAGGCTATGCCTTCTGGTACAATTTTGAACAGTAGAGTTGGTAGCATACTGCAGTGTCTCATTCCTTTCATTAATGGGGATACTACTAACATTTCACATTGGAGATTGCTATGCATTTTAAGAAATGGACATTTCTCTCTTATGTTGGTTTGATAAATGGCATTATCATGCTTTCATGTTGAACTTTTCTTCAAAAGTTGTGGTAATATTTTAGACAGATTTTTTTCTGACATTATATCTTATTTACTTTTTTTTTTTTTTTTTAATTCAGCCTCTTTTCCCCCTTTAATTCACTGCTGTATTGAGCCTTCTAGGAATTTCTTTAGGATATTTGCCTTTATGTGAGCGAGCTTGGATTGAGAGTTCTGTTTTCAGGATGTCCTCATTTGATTTTCTTATCAAAAAGAGCTAGCTTGGGAAAATGAGTTGAAAACTTTCCCATCTTTGGTATACTTTTGGAGTGTGTTTACATAATATGGTGTTTTATTTTTGCTTATGATTTGATACAACTAGCCTTCAACTGCCTTGTCCAGAAACATTTGAAAGTGTCTGGAGTTTTGAGGATAGTTTCAATTTGTATTTCTCAATTACAGTTTTGTATTTCTGTTTGGCCCAATTTGGTAATT